GATTAATAAAAACAAGTAAAATAGTTTATCCAATTATTTGAGTTTTGGGTTGTGGGTGGCCAGAGTTGTCTCAGCAGCTCAGGGTGCCAGGTGGGCGCCAGCCCTGGATAGGGTACCCTACCATGGCAGGGTCACACACACACACACACAGACAGGGACCCAGGACACATGCCAATGAACCTAACATGCAAACATGCACATCTTTGGGATATGGAGGAAACTAGACATACCTCATGCAGACATGGAAAGAACAGACAGTGACCCTGGACAGGAATCTATTTATTTTTCTCATCCATGTTGTAATGAAATAGTGGTGATGACAACAGTGCTATTTGAGGGCCTGCTGTAAAATAAAAGCCTGCAACGGCACCTGAAAAAGGATCATTTACGTCAGATACAATGGGAAATGCAATTTCATCAAAAGAACAGGCATGCTCTCCATTGATGTCTAGTTTTTTCTTTGACATCTGCTACTTCTAACATCTGCCTTAATTTTTCCCTATGAAAAATACCTTTCCTAAATTGATGAAATTGAACGTAATAAATAGTTTTCATATTCAATTTTATGGGAGTAGCTGTCTGTTGGAAGTTTGAAGACATGGGTGTTTACAAATAATTTCTTTTCAGAAACTTTGGGGAGACTCTTGTATTCAATAATGATATTTTCCCTTCAAAAATATGTAAGTCAGTACGTTTCTACACTGCTGGAAAATACCATTGCACAGTACAATGGTAAAAATTTTGGAGGGCTCCAGTTCTCTTTAAATTTACTAAATATACTGTAGATAATAAAGTGTGAGGCTTGACCGTAACAACAGTATCTTGAGATATGTTACACGCAGTCATGTGTCACTTAACAGCAGGGATGCATTCCGAGAAATGCATCCTTAGGCGATTTTGTCCCTGTGCAAACATCACAGAGTGCACTTACACAAACCCAAGTTTTGCAGCCTGCTACACACCTAGGATGTATTATGGTGTAGCCTAGTGCTTCTAGGGTACAGACCTGTACAGCATGTGGCTATACTGAATACTGTAGGCAACTGGAACATAATAGTAAGTATATGTGTCTGTAAGCATAGAAAAGATACAATAATAAAACAGTATTAAAAATTAAAAAAGTTACACTCGTATAGGACATTTACCGGGAATAGAGCTTGTGGGGCTGGAAGTTGCTCTGGGTGAGTCAGTGTGTGAGTGAGGCGTGAATGTGAAGGCCTAGGACAGGACCGTGTACTACTGTAGACTTCATAAACACTGTACACTTAGACTACCCTAAATGTGTAAAAACACATTTTTCTTTTTTAATCATAAATTAAGCGTAATATAACCTCACTTCATAAACTTCTTTTTCATTTTTAAACATTTGACTCTTCTGTAATAATATTTAACTGAAAACACAAACATTGCACAGTTGTACATAACATTTATATTGTTATTCTACAAGATTTTCTCTATTTAAAATTTATATATTTTTACTTCTTAAACTGTATTCATTAAAAATTAAGACACACACACACTAGCCTAGGCCTGCACAGGGTCGTCTCTTCCACCTTCACGTCTTGTCGCACCAGAAGGTCTCCGGGGCAAGGACGGGTATGGAGCTTTCATCTCCTAGAATAACAGTGCTTCCTTCTGGAATCCTTCCTGAAGGGCCTAAGGTTGTTTTACAGCTAAATCGTTATTTTTTTTTTTTTTAGTAGAAGCAGCACACTGAAATAATATAAAAAGTGTAGTATAGTAAATACAAAAACCAGCAACAGTTGTTCATGATTATCATCAAGCATATGTAGTGAACTTAATTGTATGTGCTATACATTTGTATGACTGGCAGCTCAGGTGGTTCGTTCACACCAGCGTCACCACAAACATGTGCGTTGCACCTGGCGTTATCACATTGTGATGGCTACAACATCAGTAGGCCACCATCTCCTGGGACCGACGTTGTATATGAGGCCTATCATTGAGCTGTCATTAGGCAACTCACAACCATATATTACTATAGAATGTTCCAGTGATTTTCTACACGATAATCATTTACGTTATTCATACCAAAGTTAATTGAAAAAAATAATTTCAGGCTCTTTTAACCGAAAAGATGTATAGCAGAGTCACACAGACTAAGTTCCATTTCCAGAGTGGTTCATTTGGATTTTCCATGCATGCCAATGACTGGTCATTGTGGTTCTCTTTAGCAGGCTTATTTGATGGATTTCCATTGATAACCCTTGTCTTTGGGGAACAATTATCTGGACACCTTCTGTTGGAAAATGTGTGCCTTCTAAGAAGAATTAGCAGTAACAGTTAAAAATAATAATGACCCTAAGAAGACATGATGATTTATTTCAAATATTCCTGGACATTAAAGAAAAACATCAAAAATCTTTTTGTCACACGTTTCCTTTTTTTATCACTGTTTCTCACTCTTCCCATTTACGGTGACTATTCAGCCTGTGTCTTTGACCATAAGAGCTCTCGGCCCAGCTGATGGACACAGCATTCTGGTCATAAGTTGAAGGGCTGCCCTGATAAAATGGAAAGTTTTTCTTATAAATGTCACTTTTAATATACTATAAATAGCACAGATTTTTGCTTTAGGGATAGTGAATGTGGAATTAAATTCAGAATTTTCTTATTTAAAAAGACAACAAAAATGATTGTAGATGATATTGAACTATTTTCTGTTGTGTTTTTAAACAGATTTTTGTAGACTGCTCTCAGAAATTATTTCTAGAATAAAACTAGAAATAAAAAAAACTAGAACTGAAAAAACTTTATGTAAATAGAGATTTCATAAACATGTCAATAATATTCAATATCTAAGCACTGGTATTTATTTCCTAAGTATTTCTACATAACCCAGTTTGTACTTAAGTAATATCATGATAAATAAAAATAACTTTAGAAATAGCTGAGATTCCTTTCTCATATTCTAAAAAAGTTCTATATGTTTCTCAGTTTAAAAACTAATAAAACAGAAAATATCGTTCTGCATTATACCAATACATTAAAATACACCCTGATGCCGATGCAAAGACAATGGATATGGACACAACATAGTTTCTGTTCAGTTGGAAATACATTTTTATTTGGAAATCTTTTTATTTCCCTACTAGTAAGTTTCATAGCTTATTTGAATACAAATAGTAGCAGCTAATTTACTGATGACATACTGAATTTAAACCATAGATACGGAGACAATAGCCCACAATGATGAATTTCATCCATTCAACTGAATGGTGCACCAGTTCAGTTCAAAATCGTGTTCTATGAGTATGGAATGGAGTTTCAAGTCGATTGATTTAGACAGAGAATCATATCAAGGAAAAAGTGAGAGGATCAAAAAGAACAGAATCAATACCCCATTATTGAAATCATCAATGAAAAGAGTCAAACTCTGTAAAATATTTGAAAAGATTTATTCTGAGTCAAATACAAGTGGCCAATGGTCCATGACACAGCCCTCAGGAGGTCCTGAGAACAACTGACCAAGGTGATTGAGCCACAACTTACTTTTACACATTGTAGGGAGACATAAGACATCAATCAATACACATAAGACATACATTAATTCAGTCTGGAAAGGCAGAACAACTAGAAGTGGGAGCTTCCAAGTCATAGGTAGAGTGAAAGATTATTTGTTTGTTTTTGTTTTTGTTTTTTGAGACAGAGTCTCACTCTGTCACACAGGCTGGAGTGCAGTGGCGCGATCTCAGCTCACTGCAACCTCCGTCTCCCGGGTTCATGCCATTCTCCTGCCTCAGCTTCCTGAATAGCTGGGACTAGAGGCACCTGCCACCATGCCCGGGTATTTTTTTTGTATTTTTAGTAAAGACAGGGTTTCACCATGTTAGCCAGGATGGTCTTAATCTACTGACCTCATGATCCGCTCCACCTACCTCGGCCTCCCAAAGTGCTGGGACTACAGGCATGAGCTACCGTTCCCGGCCAGGTTTTTTTTTTTTTTTTTTTCTTTTTTTCTTTTTTCATATTGGAAATTAATTGAAAGAGTTAAGTTATTGTCTAAAGACATAGAATCAATAGAAAGGAATGTCTCGGTTAGAATAAAGGGTTGCAGAGACCAGTGTTTTTATCATGCATAGAAAGCCTCCAGGTAGCAGGTTTCCGAAAACAGATCGCCTGTGTTTCTTATCGGAAGTAAGGAGCCTCTTCTATCGGTAATTCCAAAAGGGAAGAGGGTATAATGAGGCATGTCTGGCTCCCCGAACTAGTTTTTCAGGTTAACTTTGGAATCACCCTGGCTGAGAGGATGTGTCCATTCAGATGGTTGACAGGCTTTGACTTTTATTCTTGGTTTGCAAAATGCAAGTGAATTCAGTATTTGTGTTGTCAAAACTTAGCACTGAAACTTACTTTTGAATCAGACACTATAAATGGACAGAGCCTGGCTGCGGTCCTGGAATACGGTAGTGGAACCCTTTTTTATGCATTGATGGATGAATGCATGAGATTTCTAATTTATTATTTAATTCAATTGCTTATCCATCAAATGTTGATTGAGCATTGGGTAATAATGTGTAACAGACACCGTACCGGTCCTGGAAGCATAAAAATAAATAGGGTATGAGTATTCACTCTTGCAGTGTTTCCGATACCGCTGTTTTAGATTTCCGTAGTCTACTGTGTCTGACTGCTGACGCTGATATCTGGTTACTCACTATAGGAGTACGTAGAATTTCATGACTAGAAAAATATAATCTAGACGTTATCCGGAACACTGAATAAAAGCAGGACTATATTTTTCTCTCAACAAAATGCATTTATTTACACTTGATAATGTTTATAAAAGTGCTATACTGCAGATATTCTAAAACCAGAAGACATTTTCTCAGTTTAATTTTTAGGAACAATTAATATTTTTCTGATACTAGAGATTTTCTCATTTTAATAATTCAAAAATGATGTCTGTTTTGTGTTATAAGTGGCTCTCCATAGAAAATTTAACTTGTTTTTTCTTCTTTCTTTTCTCTTTCCAATAGTTTTACCTAGCCACACTTGTGGAAATCCTGGAGAAATCCTGAAAGGTGTTCTCCACGGAACGAGATTCAACATAGGAGACAAAATCCGATACAGCTGCCTCTCTGGCTACATCTTGGAAGGCCACGCCATCCTGACCTGCATTGTTAGCCCAGGAAATGGTGCCTCGTGGGACTTCCCAGCTCCCTTTTGCAGAGGTACAGTGCTACAAGGGGGCTGGTGAGCAAACTCCAGAGCAGGGCAATGGCTTTGGAGCTGCTTTTATAAAAGTTTCCACTTAAATGAAAAGATGATATGTTGGGATGACTCTCACTGTGTCAGCTCATTCTGCTCCTGAAAGCAATATTGCATGTTATTACTATGTAAGAAATAACATGTAACATGTAATATTTAATATTACATGTTATTAGTATGTAAGTAATAACATGTAATGTGTCATAATAATATATAATATTACATGTTATAATATGAAAGAAATCATGATTGGACCACATAAGGTCAATAGCAAGTTTAGGACTTGTGATATGGTTTGGTTGTGTCCTCACCCAAATTTTATCTTGAACTGTAACTCCCACAATTCCCACATGTTGTGGGAGGAACCTCGTGGAAGGTAATTTAATCACAGGGGCAGGTGTTTCCTGTGCCATTCTCATCATAGCAGATAAGTCTCATGAGATCTGATGGTTTCAGAAAGAGGAGTTCCCCTGCACAAGCTCTCCCTTTGCCTGCTGCCATCCATGTAAGACGTGACTTGTTCCTCCTTGCCTTCTGCTATGATTGTGAGGCTTCCCCAGCCACTTGGAACTGTTAGTCTATTAAACTCCTTTCTTTTGTAAATTGTCCAGGCTCAGGTATGTCTTTATCAGCAGTGTGAAAAGGAACTAATACAGTAGATTGGTACCAGGAGTGGGGTACTCCTGAAAATATACCAAAAGATGTGGAAGCAACTTTGGAACTGGATAATAGGCAGAGGTTAGAACAGTTTTGAAGGCTCAGAAGAAGACAGGAAAATGTGGGAAAGTTTGGAACTCTCTAGAGACTTGTTGGATGACTTTGACCAAAATGCTGATAATGGTAGGGACAATGAAATCTAGGCTAAGGTAGCCTCAGATGGAGATAAGAAACTTGTTGGGAACTGGGCCACAGGTGACTCTTGTTATGTTTTGGCAAAGATACTGGCAGCATTTTGCCCCTGCCCTAGAGAGCTGTGGAACTTTGAACTTCAGAGAGATGATTTGGGGTATCTGGCAGAAGAAATTTCTAAGAAGCAAAGCATTCAAGAGGTGACTTGGGTGCTGTAAAGGCATTCAGTTTTATAAGGGAAGCAGAACATAAAAGTTCATGAACTTTGCAACCTGACAATGTGACAGAAAAGAAAATCCCATTTTCCAAGGAGAAATTCAAGCCAACTGTAGAAATTTGCATAAGTAATGAGAAGCCAAATGTTAATCCCCAAGACAATGGGGAAAATGTCTCCAGGGCATGTCAGAGGTCTTCACAGTAGCTCCTCCCATCACAGGCCTGGAGGCCTAGGAGAAAAAAGTGGTTTTGCGGGCCAGACCAAGGGTCCCCATGCTGTGTACAGCCTAGAGACTTGGTGCCCTGCATCTTTGCTGTTCCAGCTGTGGCTGAAAGGAGCAACACAGAGATCAGGCTGTGGCTTCAGAGGGTGTAAGCCTCAAGCCCTGGCAGCTTACACATGGTGTTGAGCCTGCAAATGTGTAGAAGTCAAGAATTTGGGTTTGGGAACCTCTGCTTAGATTTCAGAGGATGTATGGAAATTCCTGGATGTCCAGATAGGATTTTGCTATGGAGGGTGGCCGGTGGGGGCGGCTCATGGAGAACCTTTGCTAGGGCAGTGCAGAAGGGAAATGTTGGGTCAGAGCTCCCCCACGGAGTCCCTACTGGGGCACTGCCTAGTTGAGCTGTGAGAAAAGGGCCACCATCCTTCAGATGCCAGAATGGTAGATCCACTGACACTTTGCATCATGTACCTGGAAAAGCTGCAGACACTTAATGCCAGCCCATGAAAGCAGCCAGGAGGGAAGCTGTACTCTTCAAAGCCACAGGGGCATAGTTGCCCAAGGGTGTGGGAATTCACCTCTTACATCAGCATGACCTGAATGTGAGACACAAAGTCAAAGGAAATCATTTTGGAGCTTTAAGATTTGACTGTCCTGCTGGGTTTTGTACTTGCATAGGGCCTATAGACCCTTTGTTTTGGCCAATTTCTCCCATTTTTGAAAGGCTGTATTTACCCAATTCCTGTACCAGCATTATGTCTAGGAAGTAAGTAGCTTGCATTTTATTTTACAGGCTTATAGGAGGAAGGGACTTGCCTTGTCTCAGATAAGACTTTGGAATGTGGACTTTTGAGTTAATGCTGAAATAAACTGAGACTTTAGGGGACTGTTGGGAAGGCATGGTTGGTTTTGAAATGTGAGGACATGAGATTTGGGTGGGGCCAGGAACAAAATGATATGGTTTCACTGTGTCCCCACCAAAATCTCATCTTGAATTGCAACTCCCACAATTCTCACATGTTGTGGGAGGAAGCCACTGGGAGGTAATCGAATCGTGGAGGCAGTTCTTTCCGTGCTGTTCTTGTGATAGTAAATAAGTCTCTCAAGATCTGATGGTTTTAAAAATGGGAGTTTCTCTGCACAAGCTGACTTTGCCTGCTGCTATGCATGTAAGGCGTGGCCTGGTCCTCCTTGCCTTCCACCATGATTGTAAGGCTTCCCCAGCCACATAGAACTGTACGTCCATTAAACCTCTTTCTTTTGCAAATTGTGCAGTCTTGGGTATGCATTATCACCAGCGTGAAAACAGACTAATTCAACTTATTATTATATCCCCCAAATATCCAAAATGGTTTTCATTGTATTTTTCAATCTTCAGGGATTTCCGCCTATTTTCATCATCTCTTGTGGCAGGATTCGAAGATTTGATGCCAATGTTTATGTCCTTCTAGCCCTGTTGCCTCTGTTTTATCTTTTGTTACTAAAAATTACAAACACTCCTTGACCATTTAGTGTGTATATTTTAAGAACTCTTTCAACACTCTCAGACTTCTCAGATAAGGTGATTGTAAGTTAGTGCCCTCTTCCAAGTGCCATTGTCACATTTCAGAGCAAGATGAGAATCCCTTTACCTGGAGCACTGCTATTCTCACATTTTCCAAAAATATTATTTTACTGTTCCAATGACTTTAGAAAAGAGCATACTTCAATTCTTAGGTTTTGACTTTCCTAAGAAAAACTCATCTTTTGAGTACAAAATTAAAAGCATAGGTAACATTTATTGAGGTCTTAATGAGATTCCAGAAAAAGTGCTAAACACTTCACTTGGATTATACCATTTAACTCTCATAACAAGCCACAAATGTAGTAATTATTTATACTCATTTAAAAGGTAAAGACATAGAGTTTTAATTTCCAAAAGGTTCCAGAGATAGTAAATGTTAAGACCCAAACATAAATCTGGCTTTTAATCTAGGCTTGAAAGCATGTCAATTCACAGCCTCCACTGCAAGTGATAATGTGACATTATATTATTTCCTTCAGTATGCTTTTCGTTTATTCTTTGCTAGTTATTGCATATTTGCCTATTTTTTTCTTTTTTTGTAAAATGTTATAGTCTTATGAGATCTGCTTGATGCTTATTATATTCGTAATGGCATATGATGACCACGACTACTACTACTACCACCACCCCACAAGGTAGTATGTATTGTCCACTTATTCTAAGTCAGCCATTACTTTAGCAAATTTAATCTTTGTAAGTAGGCATTATTCCTCTGTCCTAGACAAATTCATAAGATGATGACTTCCTCCTCTAGATGCCCATTATTTCTTCTAAAATGCTCATTTTCTCTGCACATTCCTGAAGTTTATTATGTCCCTTTTCATTTTTTTCTTATTATTAATTACTTTTCATCTTTATGTTGTCAAAACAGTGGTGACCTCAAAATCTAAACCTATATCCCATTTCCCTTGCTTTCCACAGATTTTTCTCAAGTAATTGATCTCATTTAAGGACAGTCTCATTGGGCATCCTAAATATATTCTTCCTTCTTCCTTATTTCTACCATTATTTCCATTACATTCTCACTCTCAGAAAAAAAAACCAAAGTGACTCTGGCTTTGTTCTCTTTATTTACTTTATAATAGATCATGTAGATCTCAAGTCATGCTCTTTGTTTCCTTTCGAAGTGTCTCTGCCTTACTTCCATTTCTACATATACTGTACTATTTTAGTTATTTATTTCCCTTCTCAACCAGACTGGCTTCAAGTTTGTTGAATGGGCCCCCATGTCTAGAATGTCAGCTGTCATCTGTATTAGTCCATTCTCATGCTACTATGAAGAAATACCTGAGACTAGGTAATTTATAAAGAAAAGAGGTTAATTGACTCACAGTTGTGCGTGGCTGTGGAGGCCTCAGGAAACTTACAATCATGATGGAAGGCACCTCTTCACAGGGCAGCAGGAGCGAGAAGTGCAGAGTGAAGAGGGGAAACCCGTTATAAAACCACTAGATCTCACGAGAACTCACTCACTATCACAAGAACAGCATGGAGGAGCCACTCCCCTGATCTAACCTCCTCCCACAAGGTCCCTCCCAAACACATGGGGAGTAGGGGATTAGAATTCAGATCACAATTCAAGGTGAGATTTTCAGTGCGGACACAGCCAAACCAAATCATCATTCTGCTTTCTACTCCTGCCTCACTCTCTCCTAACATCCATCCTCATTCTAACCTTTCTTTTGTCAGCCAAACCACTTTGGTGACTCAACAAGAATAAAGTACAAACCTACAACATGGCTTCCTATGTGCTCCTTACCTCATCATAACTAAATGGTGCAATTCCACCTGGTAGTGTACCCAACATGAGTGTAAAGCTTTTCGCTCTACAAAGCTGTGTTTTTCTGTGGCCGACCTATCCTGGCTGGCCTGAGAACTATCTGCTTCTCTGTGTTCCACGACATCATGTGGTTAGCTTGCTATCTGTCATGGTGGGACTATACCATAAGAATTGGGCAAACACTGCAAAGTAGGTTTTCAGTTTGTTTGTTTGTTTGTTTGTTGTTTGGTTGGTTTTTAAGAAATTCGCTCAGCAGCATACCACACCATGCCACATTCCAAACTTTTGCTCAGGTTTTTACACTGCCACAGAGTCTCCCTGTCATATCCC